AAAACTAATGTGAAGTGAACTGGAGATGTTGATTAAGTAGACTAGAAGAGAAAAATAATGACTTATAGTGATAAGTTGGGAAAGCCATACAGACACTTTAATCTGAAGTTACTGCCTCTGTCTCATTATTTAACATGGTAACATTTTCAGAAACAACTAAGAAAATAACTTAAAAGTATAATTGATCCAAATACACAAAGAAAATGCTTCCTAATAGAGAAGTCTGCATGTGTAACATTACAGTATACCTTTTAACTCAAAGTTTGCTAAGTCAGTATAATAATTTTTCTTAATATGCCTTTTTAAAGTCCATTAAATACCTATCTGCTTTGCAAAGTTCTTTATCTTGTTATTTTTTTTTAAACATTTTTTTTAAAGATTTTATTTTATTTATTTGAGAGAGAGAGAATGAGAGATAGAGAGTATGAGAGGGAAGAGGTTCAGAGGGAGAAGCAGACTCCCTGATCAGCAGGGAGCCCGATGTGGAACTCGATCCCAGGACTCCAGGATCATGATCTGAGCCAAAGGCAGTCGCCCAACGAACTGAGCCACCCAGGCGCCCATTTCCTAAAGGTCCTGTGCTTATATAAAAGTGAAAATTTCTAAGTTTTGTTATGGACTATACTTGTCCCCCCTTCCACACTCTCTCCCATTTATATGCTGAAACCTTACCCCTCAATGTGATAGTATTAGGAGGTGAGGCCTTTGGGGGGTAATTAGGATTAGATGAGCTCATGAGGTGAAACCTGATCTCAGCCTTGTGAGGATACAATGAGGAGGCCATGTGCAACCCAGAAGCTCTCATCAGAACCCAACTAAACTGCCACCCTGATCTTAGACTTCCAGTCTCCACAACTGTGAGAGGAACAAATTTCTGTGGTATATAAGCCACCCAGTGTATGGTACTTTGTAGTAGTCTCAACTAAAAAATATCTAATAAACATAAAAGAATATGAAAAAATAATGAATACAAGAAAAGGGTTTTTTTCTAATCTCAACTCTCCCAATGAATTATTGATTCAAATTGCTGATTTCATTAGACCTTTCATGTAATATTCACTAAATATCAAAAAATGTTGTTTTTTCTTCCCTTGAGGAGTTTATGTTTTTAGGGATAAATAACCGAGAGCCACAGTAAACATAGTCCTCTCAATTTTTTTTTCCACTTCTACCAATTAGCTTATTTACGGAGGAAAAAAAAGCCCAAATGTTTAAAATCTGCAAAGGAGAGCAAAAGACTGCTTTTTTAAACAAACCAATTAGACACAATTATTTTATTCTCATGTTTGATATTCATGGTGACAGCAATTAAAAAAATAAAGAAAAAAGTTCCTTCAGTTTATGATTCTTAACTATCCTGCTTTTCTTTAGTTTCTAGTGAAGCAAATCCCTGTTTAGGAAATTATCTTAGAATCTAGCTATCATTTATATTAGATTTCCCTTTAAAAATAAACTGACATCTACGATGACTGGTCTTTAAAGTTTATCTAAAACACTGAAAATTCAAAAGAAATACCGAATGAAAAAATGTTCCAACATAATGTTAAACAAAAAAAGGTTTATAAAACAGTATGTATACTATGATCCCAAGTTTAATTTTTAAAATATGCAAAGAATGGAAAGATATACATTAAAATGTTGGCAGTCACGTTCTGTTTATAAGTTTTCCCGTTTTTTTTTTGTTTTGTTTTTTGAATTTGCAACAAAGAATTTGCACTACTTTCATATAATCAGAAAAATATTTATATTAACATCATTGTTTAAGTTATAAAAGAATACATAGCCTGTTACAAAGATATTTTTATAAATGCATGATATTGCAAATTAATGAAATACATCAATCTGATTTCTAAGAAAATAAATTCTGAAGATTTCAACTTTCTCAGAAGGTAGAGAAGTTGTTTCCTAGTACAAGCTCTCACTCTACTGGTGACATAGAGAACACAGTTATTCTGACATTTCTGAAGTACAGTTATTGCATTATTTTCCACAAGCACTAGATGGCAGGGTTTTCACTAAAAAACTCAGTTTCACCAATTAACACTATATTATATGCGTTTGTTGTCTGTGGTTTCTGTTAATATGCCATCATCCATCATTATATTTATTATATGCCTTTTTGGGACTGTGTCTGTATCAACACAAGGTAATTTTAAATTACAGTTTCACTCATGGCCTTGAGTATTTAACAGTTGATTTATCACATATAAAATTAAATTATCCAACTTACAAATTGAAAGGAATTCAAATATATATATGTGAACATAATATACCTATTTCAAAACTGTGGTTTTAGGGCTGTATTAAGAAATACGCAATCTAAGTCTCTAATCTGACACTATCTCATATTAAAAATTGAATGAGTAAGAGCAGCTGGCTGGCTCAGTCGGTGGAGCATGAGACTCTTGATCTCAGGGTTGTGAGTTCAAGCCCTACATTGGGTGTACAGATTACTTAAAAAAAAAAAAAATCTTAAAAAAAAAATTGAATGACTAATAACACACTGAAAACAGAGGTCCATCAATACTGGTTCTAGTTTAATAAAAAATGCAAAGATGGGGTGCCTGGGTGGTTAAGTCGGTTAAGCGTCTGCCTTTGGCTCAGGTCATAATGAGGGGGGCGGGCTCTAGAATCGAGCACTGTGTTGGACTCCCTGCTCAGTGGGGAGTCTGCTTCTCCCTCTCCCTCTGCCCTTCCCCAGCTCATGCTTGCTCTCTCTCGTACTGTCTCTCTCTCTCAAATAAATAAAATCTTAAAAAATGCAAAGGTAATTTTTTAAAAAGATTTATTCATTTATTTTTAGAGAGAGAACGTGCGCACGCTCGTGTGAGTAGGAGGAGGGGCAGACGGAGAGGGAAAGAATGTCCAGCAGACTCCCCGCTCACCACAGAGCCCCCCATTGGGCTCTGGGACTGGATCCCATGACACTGAGATCATGATCCAAGCCAAAACCAAGAGTCAGATGCTCAACCAACTGAGCCACCTAGGCACCTCAAAATGCAAAGATGATTTTTAATAAATTAGTTAAATGCCCACAGAATTACAGTTATTTAAGAGAATACTGAAATGCTTTTCTCTAACTCCAAATGCTTCTAACATCTATAAGTCTTATGAATTTTGGTGGGGGTAGAAGAGAATCTGCAAGGGAAAGATATTCCAGGAAGAGAAAACAGCAAGAGTAAAGTCATGGCATCTCAAAAGTACAGTTTATTCAAGGGATGCCAGGGTTATCATAGGGTGCACTGGAGAAATAGCTGAAGATAAAGCTGGAAAAGTAGGGTAAGATCACTTGGGGAAGGACTGTTCTGCTGTACTTGGGAGTCGACATCATTTTGAAGGCAGTGAGAAAACCACTGAAGACTTTTAAGCAAGGAAGAGCTGTGACTAAGATCTGTTTTCACAGAGGTATACAGGATGAATTCGAAGAGTGAAAGTTTGGAGTAGGGGAGAAGAAGGACTGAAATTCACTGGCCAAGGCCTTATAAAGGGCAAAAACACTGAGGGTACAAAGACGAAATATTCCAATAACACTTCAAAACGCAGGAATGAGTACATTTGGCAAAGGATAAATACAGTGAATAAAGGTTTCAAGCCTTGATAAGTGGATGGAGACTGATGTCTTAAAGACAGGCTAGAGTCTGAATAATTTTAAGTGCAAGATGCTTTCTGATATCCAGGCTGCAAGATCTACTAGCTAGAAACAGGAGAGAAGTGAGCTATAAAGAAATAAAAGGAAAAAAAAAATAAGATTATGATTTTTGGTGGTTTATGAAGAGTCTCATTATATTATCAACATTAGATGCATACCCCTTGTTACCAAGTAATTAATGTCATCGAGCAGCAAGAGTATAAATTTGAATTGAACACAATATCACATAGCAAAATAAATTTTGCAACTGAACGGTACTCATGTAAACTATGGGATGGTATTGCACTGTTGGGTAGAACTCAGTCAATTTAGATTATTAATTACTCATCAACCACTTCTAACACACATATACAAAATTTACTGGCAAGTATATGATTTATGTTTCATATAGAGATTTACTAAGATGTCTAAAATACCCACACACATTTCATCTGAAGTGAAGCCAAAAGTTTTAAAGATAGATTTATAAGACAGAAAAATATGTTTACTAAGAGCTGGTAATAACAATGATTATTAATAAATATCATTAGTATTAAACTTCCTATTTATAGAGTCCCTCAAATAGATTTTATCTGATCTCTACAAGCTGTCTATGAAGCAAGCTGGAGCTGGTAGTAATAATAGCAACAATAACAACCATAATACTCTGGCAACACACATATCTTAAACTAGAATTTATTTTCTACTCTTCACTTTTCCCCAACCCCTTAGTTTGTAGAACAAACTAGAGTTCTTAGATACTCTTATTTGGAAATTTATAGTATTTAAAACTTGAGCTTTCCTGACATAAATAAACTAGATTAGAATACTGCCTACTGAATTTTCTGAAAGTCTTTGAAATACAGAAAATACAGACCAAAGAAATTTAATGTTGTTCCACAATGAAATGCATCTAATTTGATCTAGACATATAAATTAGGTGCCATAAATACTCGCTAATTATTACACAAAACTAAAATCTAAGAAGTCCAGCCCAATTATTAAATTGATATAAATCTGACCATTTATACATGCACTTAGTAAAACTTCCACATTGCTGGTATAAATTTAGCCTTCATCAACTGTTTAAATGAAATTCCATCCCAAAAGGATAAATAGCAATCAAAATTTCTTACTTTTTAGACATTTCTTGAATTTCATTTTTTAAAAAACCATTGCAATACCTAGGTAAGGAGTTTAAAATATTCCCCATTCATCTAAAGGCTGAGCCAAACTGAAAACTTTAAGTCATTTTTATAGAGGCAGGGACCTCCACATGTTATCTTACATATAAGCAGCCTCTGGCTCCTACCTGTTTTAGCATTTCAACAGGGTTGGAATGGATTTAAAAAGAACAAACAGGAATACTTACTTGAACTTGGCAGGTGAAAGAGGAGTAGGAGGAAACATTCCTGGTTCAAAAGAGTCAAAATAAGTCACTGTCCAAGAAAAGCTACAGCAGGAGAATCCAGCAGATAGAGATATTATAAGTAGAGTCCAGAATCCTTAATGGGAAGAGAGGAGGAAAACTTAAACACCAAAGCCATTTAAATTAAACCAGTATCTTCATGTTCAAAAGATCATGTGTATTTCTGAACTTCTGAATTACATGTAGGTGACATAAGAGATTTGAGCTTAGTACAAGCAAACCCATACAAAAGTATAAAATACTAAAGCACAATTAGAAGTCATATCATTTAGGGGCGCCTGGGTGACTCAGTGGGTTAAGCATCTGCCTTCAGCTCAGGTCACAATCCCAGGACCCTGGGATCAAGCCTCACATCTGGGTCCCCGCTCAGTGGGGAGTCTGCCTCTCCTTCTCCATTTGCCTCTCCCCCAGCTCATGCTCTCTCTCTCAAATAAATAAATAAAACCTTTTAATAAAAGAAAAAAAGAAGTCATATAATTTAATATCTTAACATTTCAATTATAAGTTAATAAAATAATTTAAAATAGTTATAAATAACATTTTAATAGTTTAATATTTCAATTATTTAATGTTGGAAAAAGAGTACAAATTTAACTTAAGAATATAAGTTATCTTCAGCTTTATAAAATTCAACTATAGGAAAAATGGTTAAAATACTTCACTGTTAAAATGTCTTGACATTTTTCATTTACTTTGTGAATCACAGCTTGCTATCTTTTATTACCTAGTATTAAGTGACTCTTTTGTTTCCATACCATGCACTTTTGACGTAAGAATTCACTGATATGAGGAATTCTTAATCTCAGGAAACAAACAGGGTTGCTGGAGGGATGGGGTGGCTGGGTGATAGACATTGGGGAGGGTATGTGCTATGGTGAGCGCTGTGAATTGTGCAAGACTGTTGAATTACAGATCTGTACCTCTGAAACAAATAATACATTATATGTTAAAAAAAAAAAAAGAAGATAGCAGGAGGGGAAGAATGAGGGGGGGGAATCGGAGGAAGAGACGAACCATGAGAGACAATGGACTCTGAAAAACAAACTGAGGGTTCTTGGGGGGGGCGGTGGATGTGTTAGCCTGGTCATGGGTAAAAAGAGGACACGTTCTGCATGGAGCACTGGGTTTTATACACAAACAATGAATCATGGAACACTACTTCAAAAACTAATGATGTAATGTATGGTGATTAACATAACAATTTAAAAAAGGGTAAAAAAAATTTAGTGTCTACTCTTTATAGCTTTCCTATAAACATTATAAACCTAATCTGATTCTTCAATTTTCCTCAGTATATGAACAAAAGTTAACTCTCAATTTACAAATGGGTTGGGACCTAGGTTTTAGTTTCAGTCAGAGTGGAAGACTGCAAGATTTTCTCAAAGAAATGTTAAGTCAAAAGCATAGTATTATATTGGACTCAAGGAAGGGGTAAAAGATTGAGAAACGGAAGAAAGAGGGAAATGAAAAAAGTGAGAACAGAGGGAATAAATTAATTTGACCGTTTTTAGATATATATTCAAACTGCCTCCTTAAGAGAGTTTACTAAGTGTGTGTCATAGGCCTCAGTAGGACCGGGAGGGAGGAAAGGTTGAGAAGACTACAGTTGAGAATGACTTATGAATTACCAAATTTCCTGGCGGCACAAATGTGCAACCAAGATGCCTTTTAGCAAGTAGTTAAGAAATATGTACATAAGTCTGTCTGTAAACCATACAAAGCCCAGTAATAGAATAATAGCTAAAAGACAAACTCAGAGCAATGAAGTATTAAGAACTGTGACAACGTATTTTTTGAAAGATTAACCTTAATTTTTTCTCACTAGTTCCCTTTCCTTTACCCCCTTTTCAATAGATAATGGACTGTGTATTCACTGCTCCAGAAGGATGTGAGCAAGAAAAATAGCGCCAGTGTCTCTTTGGTTTTTATGTTGCAAAATGATTAAGGGAACTAGGATATAAGCAAGAGGAGGGTAGACCAACACGAAATATCTTGGATAGACAGGAAAGATAATGAGTTGACTGGGATACAGACAAAATGTTTGTGTAGAACAAGGAGAAAGAAAGCGAGGGCTTAATGCACAGGTGAGAAAGATTTCTCCTTGTTTGAAGAAAGTGGTGCGTCTGTTCGTCCTTGTGTGTATTTATATGGAGAGGGGGGTAGTACTGCTGGGGCTTCCTGGCAGAACCATGGAGAGGCCACACAGTACAGAGGGATTATAGCTATATACAGTATCTTGACGGATGGGCCCAGAGCCAGGTCTACAGATGTCTCTCCCCTAAGTGGGGCATAGAAAGAGCAGATGGTGATGTGGCTATAAAAGTACGACATGTGAGAGGCCATTCTGGCCAGAAAGCAAGATGTTTCAGCAGTAACTCATTTGAGCAAATGTTCTGAGGACTAGATTGCACCCCACCCCAATGTCCTGGCACAGTGTCAGACTTTAGAACCTTACCCCAACCTGGGACTAGGTAGAGAGAACCTCAGCAGAGACTGAGGTACAACCTTCCTGCCAACACAGTGAGATAGGGGACCAAGATAAAAATTATAAGCGTACTTAATGTACAGCCACAACTTAAGGATGGTTATTCTGCCAAATAGCTATTACTTATTATTTAGATGAATACTGCTAAAGGGGAGAAAATAATTGACAAGTTTACACTAAGTTTAATATCGTATAATATATAAAGTCTGCAGAACAAAGAGAGTAATTATGAAAAATCAATTATCTGTTTGGGGACTATTGTGGAATGATGGAAACTTGTAAATATCTAAAAAAAAAGTGAGAAAGACACAAAATAACACATTAAAAAAGTAACAAGTCTGAGGCTCTCTAAAGCCCATCAAGCTTTTCCATTCAGGGTCTTTAACAGAATACCTGTCAAAATTAATACAAGAATATCCTTGAGTTTTCAAAACTGACCACTATTCCACAATCTAAGTGTTTATCTCATTTTGGGCTTTTTTATTTTGTATTTACTTTGAACTGATCAACAATTACACCACTGATAAAAGTCAATTCACAATGAAAGGTCTAAAAAAGTACAATGTAATATCATGGTCTAAAAGTGCTTATGCTTCAGAAAGTAACTCAATTTGTTTGTGAACAAGCAGAAAAGCCATACTAGTTGGCAACTAGCAACAACTAAATCTGTAACAAGTCCCTTCCTCCAGAATCCTGAAGCTAAAAACCTGACAATTAATGTTATGTAACCCCATTTTACCAAGAGTTAACATAATTTGTAAACAGTACAAAGCATATAAAAGTTAAAAGTCTTCCTACCTCAATTCAGCAATTCCACTCCTAAAAGCAATCAGCTAAGTTCGTTGTGCACCTTTCCTAAAAATTATAGTTATCTAGGTAACGTGGGTATATATATATATGTATATATATTCCATTTTCCACAAATGGAATTCTCACCAGAAAAACTGTCCTATGCTTTACTTTTCTTACATAACAAGGTTTGAGACCTTTCATATCAGTACACATAGCCACAATTCTATTGCATATTTTTATGATTCCACCATTTTTTTTAAGATTTATTTATTCATTTGATAGAGGGAGAGAAAATAGGGAGAAAGAATTTAGGACATAGAAGAGATCACTAAAATCTCAATGTATCTTGGATTTATAAAAAGATCCAACAGACCAATATTTCAAGATTAAATAAGCTTTATTGCATCAAAAACATAACTCAGCTTTAGTCTCTGGAAAATGCCCCAAGAAAGAATAAAAGTCACAAAATATCCACTTTTACAAATAATATTGCTCAAGAGAATTGAAAACTGGGTCCAATAGACCTTGCATTATATTGAGCATTAAAGCATGAAGCCAATTAAGTGACTTTAACTTTGAGTAGTTAAGGATAGGCTCTGAGATCTTGTAATTTCGAAAAAAGAAAATCTGCAGGGTTTTCTTGTTGTTGATTACGCCAGGTTTGGGAACTACTAGACCAGTGGTTCTCATGAACTACGAGCATCAGCATCACCTAGAAACTTATTAAAATGCAGAATTCCTGGGCTCCATCCCACACCTAGTGAATCAGAAACTGTAGAACAGGTGAAGTCTAGTAAAATAAGTTTTAAGTCTCCCAGCTAATTCTAATGCCAGCTAAAGTTTTACTTCATTAGCCTTAAGAAACATCCCCCCAGATCACCAGTTTCTTGAGATTTACAGCTCCCAATGTGTGCTTCTCATTACTGTTTCTATGTAGTAGGGAGACCTGCAATGATTTTTATGACTAATAATTTGGCTGCACAAGGGTAATTCTTGCTAATAACCCATACTGTTTCTCCCTTACTATTGTGCCTAAACTATCTTGTGACATAAAAATCCTAATATACATTGTTGTGAATTTTGGTTCAGAAGATAATTTATATGGATGAATGCAGGATGGTTGGTAATACTAGGTAAAATAACACATGTAAAAAATTAATAAAGTTTGCATATTGTAAAGGTTAAAATTATTAACTGCTGAATGTGTTACTCATATTTTTCTAAACTTAAATTTGTGCTTTCCTTTAAACAAAGTTTTTCTTACTGAGAGTTACAGTCATTCATTATAGAAAATAGAGAATAATAAGATCTAAAACCCAGGTAAATTATCTAAAATTTTGGTTGCATCCTTCCAGTCCTTTTGGGCTTTCATTTTTCTCTTCCTTTTTTGCCTTAGTCATCATTCTTTAACTAATATGAATAAGCAATTTTACAAACACCGCCACAGAATAGGATAACGTATTTATGAAATTTTCCATGAAATATTTGAGTTACCCCACCCAGCTTCAGAGAGCACTATATCATATCCTTAATACACAGTGGCCTCAAATTACAACATTCATACATTCACTGAAAATAGTTCAAGTTCACAGTTTCAGTCATTTTTCACTATAAGGAAGAAACTGAGTGGTTGTTTTCAACCTGTGCCTTTCCAAGAGAATGAATGGGTCACTTCCCACCACACCCTTTCTCTTGGAAATTTTTACCAAGTTTCTAACGTTCTGTATCATGAAATTATGAGGACAGAGTCTCACTTATCTCTTGGCAGAGTAAATAACTGATAAACTCTTCAAATGAGTTGGCTTCATCTTTGATTAAACTCAGTAGATATCAATCATCTCTGTAAATGTTCAGAAGCCTGTAAACATCTCAATCATAAAGCAGAACTACATGGGCAGCTAAAAAAACAACAGCCCTTGACAATGCAAGATGCTAGATATCTGGTCTTATCCACAAGAGGGACTTAATGTTAACTATTAACTAGTAGATGTCAAAGAGTGACAAGTACCAAAAATCAAAAGCTTTTCAGACTGAAGGAACTCCATGAAGTTGATTACGATTCCTATATGGCATACTTACCACATGTATATTAAGAGTACTAGGTCCTACATTTAATTTAATGACAGTAGTCTTAGATTAAACATTTTCTGGTAACAGCAAAATCCTTCTATTTTTCTTATGTGTTTATTTCAGGTTTGCCTCAAATAAAAGGTCTTTTATCACACCCTGTAGTTAAGACTATGAGAAAAAATGCAAAAGTTGGAAATAGAACGAAGTGTGTGAAAAGTTATAAAACTTGGAAAATGTGACAGATACAAAAGTCAATGTACAAAAATGAAACAATTCATATGTTGTATATTAGTGCAATCAATTTGGTCTGAGAATAACCTTTAGCAGGAAGGACTAAAAGGCGATTTTAAAACTTAAGTTTTATTTATCTCCCTGAAAAACAGGCTTACAGTAGGGGATGGTTTGTAGGACAATTATAAAAGGAAAGCCCTTCCAATGCCACCTAGGGAAGATTAGGGGAGATGAGTTCCAAAACCAGGTGACAGCATCTCTCACACCTCCCTGGCTGGTCTACCTCACCAATAAAGATGAACACCGATAGCCTAATCCTATTAGCCATTAGGATCAATTAACTCCCCAAATGCACTGATACCATGCTCATCATGAACGTTTTTTGTTTATTAAATTATAAACAATTTCCCATGAAGACTTCTTTTAGGCAAAGATGACAAGAGAATGGCAGTGTCACAGATCCTTTCAAAGTTAGGTTTCTTTAAGAGACATTTGTGCTTATACATTATATCTTATTAGTCTGTCACTAGTCAACTTGCAAGAATTTTAAATGCTCTTAAACACACTTTTTAGGTGCCCCTGGCTGGTTCAGTCAGTAGAATGTGCGACTCTTGATCTTGTGGTCCTAAGTTTGAGCCCCATGTTGGGTACAGAGATAACTTAAAAATAAAATCTTCAAAAACAAAAAAAACTACACTTTTAAAAAATGAGATGCTCACCCTGTAAAAAGTATTTCTTAACCTGTGGGGCATCAAAATCACCTGTAAAAAATGAAGATTCTTGGAATCTACCCTGGGCTGAAAGGAAACCTAGAAGTACTTTTTAAAAAGAAAGTCCAGGTGATTCTTAAGCATACTAAAGCGAGAGCTGCTGCTAAAATCTGCTCTTAATGAGCTATACCAATCTTGGACTAGGCTTAAATTGCAATAAAAAATCTGCAGTGTGCAAAATTTTATTAATCTGTCTAGAAAGAGAACTCTTTGATGGGAGAAGTTACTATGCTTACATTATTTGATTCTAAAAACCAGCTCATTCTCAAAGAATTGAGGAAATTTATAATAAAATTTAAACAGGAATCACTGAAATATAAAGATAACAGTGAGTATGGACAATAATAATTACAGCAAAAAAAAGGGTAATACACAAAACAAACATTACACTTACCCATGAGGTACCTAGCAAACAAGGCAAAATAAATGCAATGAAATACAAAATCAGTAGGATTTAAAACGCTGCATTCTGCTTTTCCTGTAAATAGTGGACAAATTCAACACAGTTTTTATTAAAGATTGTTTCTTCATGTGCAAACTTTTATATCAATTATAAACAGGTAAGGATATAATTCCACAGGCATTACTTCATGGATAAGCTAATGCAGCAATCCTTCTTCATATCTAAGTTAACTCAAGGTTGATTTGAATGCAAGTCAAAATTTGAAAAAAACTGGCCTATTTTCAACAATCAGCTGTCTCTCAATTGGACTTTTTTTTTCTTTAAAGATTTTATTTATTTATTTGACAGAGAGAGAGAGACACAGCAAGAGCAGGAACACAAGCAGGGGGAGAGGGAGAAGCAGGCTTCCCGCTGAGCGGGAGCCCGATGTGGGGCTTGAACCCAGGACCCTGGGATCATGACCTGAGCCGAAGGCAGACACTTAACGACTGAGCCACCCAGGCGCCCCTCTCTCAATTGGACTTTTAACTGGAGGCTAGTAGTCAAGTCAAAACATTCCTCTGTAAAGAGGTTATGTTGTATTTTTCTCCAACGGAAGAGAATTCCAGCTTAGAACAATGTAAGGGCAGGTGTTATTTCAATAACCTCAACTTTATAGGAGCTTACTCATATTGGCACTGCTTCTCTGAGACAGGTTAAGAATTCTATACTCTTGCTATAAAACAGCATTTTCTATTACACGTTATAATGAACATTTGTTATAAATATAATTATGCCCACTTTAGAGTTATCCCCGGGAAATTGAATTAATCCACTAGATGTTGAGTATACTCTTTGACCACTAAAGCATTGGTTCAATATAAGGATTTTTGTTTTGGCATAACTACTGTTTCGTACGGTTTTTTTGTCACAAAGATACAGCAATTTCTCCTCACTCCTGAGATTGTTCCTAAATCTTGAAAGTGAATTCATGCCATTAGCAAACACTGAATGATCTTCATATTTGCTGTCATAGTATTAGGTATCTATCAGGCACATCCAAAAAAGTGGAAAAAGAAGCAGGGCAATCACAAAGCCTTATTATATTCCTTTTGATACTGTACAAGCCGTTCCTTCAGATGACAAGTGCCACCTATGCTTTTCATAAATGTGAATGAAGTTTGCCAACTTTTAAATAGCAACATAGAATTCATGCCTAGTTCTTAAGATTCTGTTCTATTCTTGTGGCATCAAGTTGACAGATCAATAAATGCTATGAAAAGCCTCATAATCTTGGCTGTTTTTAGAGACAGGACAGTGTAACAATACACACTGATAAAACATGTAACTCTAAAGTACATTTTCTCATGCAAGAAGTTGAGAAGACCATAGAAAAGTTTTCATGGGACATCTAACAAACTAATTTGTTTCTATAATTTGAAGATAAAGGTATCCCCTTCTGTAAAACCAGTCAGACTGTATTTTGTATCACCGTGAGGGCAATAGCCTTGAAGAGGTAGATTAAATAGGTCAGCTAAAATTGGGAGAGGGGGTGACATGCAGGATAGGATCTCAACCATTTTTTTTTTCCAATTCAGAATGATTAATCAAATAAATTACAGCAAACAGGAGTAAAATAACCCAAACAGGTAAAGTTCTGGACGCTTCAAAATCATTTTGGCAGAAAGAAATAAATACGAGAGAGAGCACAAGCAGGGGGAACAGCAGGGAGAGGGAGAAGCAGGGACCCTGAGCTGAAAGCAGACGCTTAAGAACTGAGCCATCCAGGCGCCCCCCTGTATAGCATTCTATAGACATTCTATAGAAACTCAAGTCTGACTCTTAAGTCATCATTAACCTGTGCAAGTATGCCCAATACTTTTTACATTTTTTTAAAAACAAGTTGCTTATAAGGAGATATAAACCTAAATTTTTCCTGAGGTCTGCTTAAGATGTCATCTTTGCTAAGATCATGAGGAATTTTTTTTTTGTATGTTTTTAATTCCTGGGAAAAAGTATAGGAAGACTTTTCCAGAAAGTAACTAGAAAATGTTAAATAGTCTCTGGGTCTTTGTCACACACAGTTGTGTTCAAATTCTATTTCTAGTGTGTGTGGTGTATACACACACACACACCAAGTATATATAAAAAAAAAATCTAATAAAATTTACCACACACAAACACAAATAATTAAGACTGAATGAATTGCACAAAGGATATTATTTTACCCAAAATTTTGTAGTTTAAACATGATCTCAAATAATAAAAATGAACTCAAAAGCAAATCAATTGACAGTTAAGTTTATACCTAGTAGCCCAGTGTCTATGTCCTCTTCAGTCTTTAAATTCTCAGCATGTAACTCTGTAAATACAAAAAAAAGGGGCTTGAGTAAAAAGGATGATTTTACAATTTGAATGGTAGCTCAAAGGCTGGGAAAATATTGTGGAGTTGTGGAAAGTGCTATGGAGTCAGAAACAAATGGGTCCAAATTCTGATTCCCATTTACTAGCTATGGGACCTTCAGTATGCAAAAAAAAGCATGTATGAGTCAACTGCCAAATATACACAAAGTTTCTTAAGAGTTATTGTGAAAATATTTTAAGTTTATTTATTTAATCTCTACACCCAGTGTGGAGCTCAAACTCAAAACCTCAAATCACATGCTCTTCCCAGGACTGTCAGCCAGGTGCTCCTGAAAATATATTACGTAATGCAAATTACACAGCCTATTAGGTTCCTTTCTTCCATTCTCAAAAGTAAGTACAACTCAGTGTCTTCTGCAATGGATTCCACTTACCAAGTTTTGTGACTTAATGATAAAAAGGAAATCTCTCACAGCACAAGGGAAATAACCTACTAAATTCTCTCCAAGATACAGTGAAAAAAAGGAGGGGAGTGAAAGAGGAAAGAAACACTGACACCCATATATTTAACATTGACAGGTGACACCCAATATCATTGTATAAAGAGGTTCACATTAACTTGCCAACTTGCCTTGTGTATGAAAATCAAGCCTAAGTTGTTAGCTGCCATCTGAGACCCAGTAGGAGCTTGGAAGCAATGAGGAAAAATTAAAACTGGAGCTAAGCTGATTTAATTCTATTTAGGGAAGTAAAACTAACACTTGAGTGGCAACCTGTTGGGTGCTTCTCATAGAACTAAAGTAGTTTTTGTTTTAATTTTTCTTTGTCAATAACTTGGCCAAAGTCACACACGAATGAGAACTGAGATTTAAACTCCAGTCTGATTCTTTTCACTGTAATATAAATATCCACCCATATAGTTTACAGTATAAACTTTGAAAAATCCTTCATGGCACATCTCTTTCTATTCCAATCTGGCTGATATATAAACATCACACTCAATAAAACTAATAATCAGAGAAATAATAGGTTATCTAGCTCCTCTTATAAAACTTTATCACTACGCTCGGTTTAAAACCTAATACAAAATCAAGAGGAGCTAATCATCTTATCTATATAAGAACTTTAGGCTGTGGGATGGAAATCCTTTCTGGAATTCTGTGTGTGTACAAAGGAAACAGTGGATAGCAAACCTTTAACCATTTGTGGATTAAATAAAGTCTTTGAATATGTATAGCCTATTTTAATCGCACACACTTTTCACCCGCCTTTAATGATTGTCTACATATTGCTTAATTTTGCCAACATTTCACCCCAAGTGTTCACTGACTCTATTGTTTCTTCAAGAGTACCCATTTAATCAAGACGCTTTCTTAAAAAGGGTCTCCTAAGCTTGGACCAGGGTCCTCCACCATTCAGAAAACAAAACAAAGGAGATGAGCAAAGAAAGGTGCCAATGAGGACTCTGGGTGAAAGCCACTACCAACTTGCCGGCCTTTGATGGGGAGGAGAGAAATTAAAGGCAAGAGCCACGTCCAGGCTCAACTTTACTCTGGACAGACTTTCAAGGCCGGAGCTTCAGTACCTTTTACGATCAGGTAGGCGATGGCGAGGAGGAAGGCGAGGAGGATGGCGAACAGCAGCGAACAAAGAATTGAGAGGACCTGGACCGGCCACCGCCGAGCTTGGGCTCGGCCGCCCGCAACCACCGAGAAAATGCCATTGCGTTTATCGGGCAGAACTGGAGACCCGTCCCCGTCCCGCTGGAACAGAGAACCCTTTCTAGGCTCCGACGACGCCCCGGTCGAGAACTCCGCCCGCAGATCACGGGCCACTTGGTCGCATCCGTCCTCCTCGTCCACTTCACCCTCACCCCAACTATCCCCCTGAGCGAAGGCGGAAAACGCCGGCCGGGAAAACGTGACAGGGGTGTCGAGACGTCGGTTCAGAGCAGCCGAGCGCCTCCCGCTCTCCACGAACGACATGGCGGGAAAGACAAGAGGGCCAGCGGAGGTCGAGAGAATCCCACCCGCCCCGCCCCGCCCTCGCAGTAGCCAATCAGCGGCCAGGCCCCCCCACAGCCTCCACCACCCGGGGTTGGCGCGCAGGGGTGCGCAGAGGTGTGCAACTGGGCGGGGAAGGTGCAGTGGGATCTAAAGAAAGGTTGGGCGCCCGTAGGCCAGAGCACTACCCCAGCTCAATAGGAAGGAAAGGAAGCAGAGAGGTGCACAAAAAGAGGCGAGCCGAGGCCAGAGGTAGCCAAGTCTCCTCTCCCCGCAGTGCTTCGTCCCGGCCAAAGACCTCCGCCACGGCCGCGTCACCTCCAGGCAAGAGCGCGCCCCAGCAGCCCCAAAGCCGCATCTTTTCGACGCCTGGTCCTAGCGCCCGCCCATACCCCTCTGATTGACATTTCCGAACCGATTTGCTTTCTCCCTTCTTCCGCTATACGGTCCTACTCCTCTCTGGCCCCGTTCTCCCCTCGCCTTAACTGCCCTTCCTTCTTTTCCTTTCGCATTGTTCCCCCCGCCCCTATCACAACTTCCCTCCACGCTACTCGACACGCCTCCTTCCCTCCCTCCTCCGCGGGCTCTCCAGCTGGTGCGTACGGAGTTCGAACCCTCTCCTAAGGAGCCCTCCTCCTCTCCTGTTCCCCGCCCCCTCTCCTCCTCCTCGAGCGCCGCGCGCGCGCGCCTGGCCCCGGCCACCGCTAACGCTAGAAGCTGCTAACCCCACCCCCACCCCACCCTATCCTACCCCGGGCAGCCTCAGGTTTGTGGGGCGTACGTAACTCGGGCGGAGGGAGTAAAGGTGGCAGGCCCCAACTGCTCCACCCCCTACGGGGTGAGGTGGTCTAAGCTTGGGAAGCTGGGACACGGTTGTCTTCCCTTCCCCGGGGAAAGTTGGTGGAGTTTTCCCGGCGGAGGCGCAGAAACTTCCTCCGTCCCCCTAACCCCCCCTCCATGCAGGCGACGCCGAGTGAGGCTGAGGCTGGGGGCGAATCGCTGCAGAGCTGCGTGTCGGCCGCGCACTCTGATTGGACAGTGGGGAAGCCTGTCAGCTTATTGGCCCCGCTGATCCCGCCCCGTAGCGCAGGGCAGCCTTTAACCTTTGGCCCCAGCGGGCGCCAGCCACTCAGATCGCTTCTTGTTGGTATGTGTAGCGGCAGTGGCCGCCGGCGGAGCAGTCTGAGCCCGACGATGAGGCCGGGGACGGGAGCGGAGCGTGGAGGCCTCATGGTGAGTGAAATGGAGAGCCATCCTCCTTCGCGGGGTCCCGGGGACGGGGAGCGGAGATTGTCCGGCTCAAGCCTCTGCTCCAGCTCTTGGGTCTCTGCTGACGGCTTCCTGAGGAGACGGCCCTCGGTAAGGGATCGGTGGAGCAGGGGGAAAGCGGCACAATGAAAAACGAAGTCAGAGAGGCAGGAAGCTTTTCCCAAAAGGAGAAGAAGATAAGAGTGGACGAAGAAAGAGCTCGAGATGGTGGGCTACGTAACGAGGAAGAGAAATGGAGAGCGGGGATGCACAAAGGGAAGGATGTGGGTCCTTGGAAGTTCTTATTGGGCTTGGCCTAGACAGATGCGCGGTGGAGGTGCTGGGCCTTGGGCGGGGTGAGCGTTTTGGAGAGGTAGGCCCGCTGTAGCAGGGAGGGGGGAGGCGGAACCTTGATTATGTAGACTTCGAAAGAGGCTGCCAAAATCTGTTTTCACCAGTAGTAGTGGTGTCTGCAAGGGGTACAAGCTGGGAAGATTGGCAGGGGCTAATTACCTGGTTTTAAGACCTGGAACAATGGGCACACAAGTAAATAAATAGTTGTCTTTTAAAAGGGAATTAAAATGGATGTATTAGTCATTTGTATTTAGGGTCTGTGAGTGATAGACCTTAGTCTGAAATTTTTTTTTTTTTTGGCAGAAGTAATTTTACTTGTGTTGAAGATTCTAGTAGGAAATAATATGTATATGTGTTAGGAATTAAGTGTCCCTGGGTACCCATATTGTTTGTGTTCTGTTAAGACAAGCTCTTATCTGAATTAATATGGTAAATTCTCGTTTCAAAGTTTAAAATTAACTTAAAAACAAATTTAAGAATAGTTACTGTTAAGACATTAACTAGCTATCTTCTGTGTGAAATAGAACAAAGTTGTGGTGTTTCACCCATAACAGTTTTTAAATTGGCTTTCACATACGTGTTCCCCAAGTTTAGTAAGCTAATTAGTAACTGATTAAAGCAGCCTGCTTTAAAAAATAAAATCTATACTCTAGCTGTCCAGTAATTACTATAATTTTTCCCATTTCGTTCTGTAATTTGGTCAGCTGCAAACTCATTATAAATACTGGTGGGTAGTGCATTTTGTTTAAGACAAGAAAGTATAAGCCAAGCCAATAATTGAATCACACATTAGTCTAATATTAAGCCAGTGCACATAACCGATTTGTGGAAATCAGATTTTTGAGAAGCACTTGTTCTTACTTGCTGATTTTTAAATTGTCCCTGTTTTTCAGATGGGGCACCCTGGCATGCATTATGCCCCAATGGGAATGCACCCTATGGGTCAGAGAGCGAATATGCCTCCTGTACCTCATGGAATGATGCCGCAAATGATGCCCCCTATGGGAGGGCCGCCAATGGGACAAGTAAGAATGTTTTTGTTTTATTTTGTATTTGTTTGTTTATTTTTGCCTGTGGTATCATTGTGTCAAGATTTAAAAACCTGGGTCGATATTTGCAGCTGTTTAAGGATTAGTTTATGTCAAAATAATATTGTCAAATAAGTCAAATGTTGAGTCATGACACTAATCAAATTTTGAATGTAAGGAAAAGCCTTCTGTATGAAAGATTTATTTTCTACCACAATGAAACTAAGAGTTCTTTTTTCAAGTAACTGTATATGTAGTCTTTTTAGTTTAATAACTTTCTTTTTCCAAGTATGTCAATTGAAGTTAAGGTTTGGAGAGTGAATATTATTATATAGGTCAACATAACTTATGTCCGTGGACCACATAAATGCATAGAATCTGAAAATAACAGTTGCTTAGGTCTTTGCCTTAGAATAAAGTTTATTCCTGAAATAGCTTCTTCTTGTGTATGTGTGTGTATGTGTGCGCGGTGGGGGTAGAGTAGGGAGATTCTACTCTAATTTGATTCTTCATAGGACAGTGCCAAATAGGTGGTTCATTTTCCACTTACACTATTTTGTTTCTGTTTTGTTTTAATTGCTTATTGCTTCTGCACTCCTGCTCTTGAGCTGTCCCTTTCATCCCCCAGCATAAATTGTAAATGGACATTTGGTGGGAGTGATTTAGATCAAAAGGTTTTAATGCTGACACAGTGAATTCAGTAGAACTGAGTTCCTAGAGAAGCATCCAAGAAAGGTAACAGGTTCAGTTACCATGAATAATTTTATGCCCCCTGTCAGGTTCTGTAATACACATATTCTTTGGTGGCTGAGTTCTTTCCATTTGAATATCTCAATAAATCATCCAAAATTTAGGCTGGTAAAATATATTGGAAAGCCAGTCAATTAGGTATGGTCTTTTTGCTAATTAATACTGTTTGTGTTGATAATCACTTAAGCCTTGATATTTTAAGTTATTGGTGAAATTGTAGTGGAGAAAGGAGCTTGCTTTGTGTCTTTTTCTTTTAACTTAACCTTAGGAGTAGAAGGGCTTAATGTCAAGTGATTTTCTTCTTTTTTATTTGTAATGTAGCCCTTAATTTTTTATAAAAATCTTTATTCAAAGACAGCAGGCCCAAAAGATTTCTGCCTGTAGGAGTTTTGGGGGTTTTTTTTTTGTTTGTTTGTTTGTTTTGTTTTTTTAAAAAGAACCATTTATTCTGTTGTTTAGAATAACACAAGTTTTAAAACTCCCTTAGGTGATGGAGAAACAACTCGGATTCTTCTTCTGTTTCTTTCCATCTCTAAGCAGCAAGGAGCTCTTCTGGTTTTCTTAGTAGAGCTGCTCTAACTAGATAATGAGCTTTAAAAAATATTTATTCTTTAAATGCTCTGGTTCTTATTTAAAATTAGTTTCTTTCCACAGAAAGATAAAATAAAACAATTTGCTACTGCCAGATGCTTCTCTCTTTTCTGGGGCCTTCTGTTTCCATTGGGCCAATCAAGGTAAGTTTTGCAAGGGATTGACCTGCTTACCCTTGCTGTAATGGTGCTATTGCACTACCAAACCAAGACACCAGCTAGTCATTTCTAGTAAAATGCAGATTTTACTTATTTATTTTTTTAAAGTACTTTCGTGTTTCACATTGACATAAGCTGGTCACAATTTGCTTTATGGCCCTTTCTCTTTAACTATATCAGGTGACCATCTTCCTAGTAAGGTGACTTGCTATTTGGTACACATCTGTTGAAATACTCTGAATTTTACCTTGTGGTTTTCTTCTTTTTTCCTAGACCAGTATATGCCATGTACCTTTAAGTGTACCTGACCATTTAGATGTTTAAAAGTCTCTCTCTCCCATTTGGCTCCTTTTAGGATAATGAACGAATGATTTAAGAATCCAGCTCTAGGGTCCCAAGAGAATCCTCATTGTTTTTCCTTAAAATTAGATTGTTTCTTTTTTTCTTTTTAATAACTAACTTATATGGGGCCCAAATCTTGGTAAAACCAATTCTTATTTGAGCTTTGGTAACAGACTGGGAGGGCATGGATAATTAAATATACTAAGTTATCTAGAAATCTAATGTAAAGCCCTGTAAACAACTTGCTTAAAAATAAAAGTTGACAATTAGCAAAATTGATCTTTTTTCTTTTACCCACTCTGAGGTATTAATGGTCAGAAGTTAATGAGAAACAGCAGGTTGCCTATATAGTTCACTGTAGTGACACAAAGTTGGTAGGGTTCTGCCATTCAATTTTTAAAAATCAGTTTACGGATTTTTTAGACTTTGGTACTGAAGGTTATGGAACCTTCATGTATATTGCCTAGTTCACATTAATATCTCATTCTAGGACCAGCTGAAAATGAAAATTAGTGCCAGTCTTACTTAAGTGA